ACACACAGAAACACCCCGGGCAGTAGGTCATCTCACCCAGCAAACACACATAGCTCACTCACGATACACAAAGAAACACCCCGGTCAGTAGGTTAGCTCACTCCGCAGAAACACAGCGCTCACCTCAGGCAGCAGATCAGTCCACCCATACCACAACCCACTCAATATACACACAGAAGTACAAGATCAGCCCATCTAACAGACACATAACCCATTCAAGATCCACACAGAAACACCCTAGACCCCAGATGATCCCACTCAGCAGAGACACAAACCACACTCAACACACAGAAAACTGGGGGCAACAGGTCATCCCACCCAGCAGAGGTACATCCCACTCAGGATACATCCAAAAACACCCCAGGCAGCAGGTCATCTGATCAGCAGACACACGGCCCACTCAGGATACACACAGAAACACTTCAGCCAGCAGATCAGTCTGCCCTGGTCAATTGTAGGCAGCAGGTCTTCCCACCCAGCAGACACACACAGCCCACTCGACACTCACAGAAACACCCAGGTTGGCCTGGTCTTGGTCAGGCCCAGGGCCTCTCCAACACCACAGTGAGAAGAGAAAGAAAAAGAGCTGCAAAGGCATTAGATGTGGCCTCAGAAGCTGAAAAGACAGAATAACTGCATCTCTTAGCCAGGTCGCGCAATGTCTCCATCACCCTCATGTCGCTGCCGTCTCTCTCTCTGCTGCTCGGAGCACGACGGCTCAGTACAGTACCAGTGGACAGGAGAGGAAGAGAGAGACAGGCCCGATACGGAGAGGTACTCCTGACAGAGCCCTGAAGGCCGAGCAGCAGCCCCTGCAGTGTCTGGAGAGCGGAACTGGAGCTGGCGGGCTCTGTGCCGTCTGCTCTGCTGGTTTCCGATGGAAACCAGGTGGGGTTCCTTGAACCCACCCCCGTCCCTCACCGAAACGCACAAAAATATCATAACGAAAACTGCAAAAAGCCCTGTGAAGCCCTAACCAACCAGCAGTGTGGAAATCTCATTTCCGCCACCAATCGCTGCGGACTAGTCTCTCAGCAGAGCCGCTCAGTAAACGTCAGGCACTCAGAACAGCAGAGGAAGTGTGAACAGCGAGCTCTGCGTGTGGAACAGGAGGGCTCGAGCGCAGGAATCTTCAGACTCGCTGCTGAGAGCCTTTCTGCTTAAAGACATAAGTTTCATGAACTAATAACCATAGCTTACATATACTAATGATCTGTTTCACTTTCACTTGTATCTTTCCTTCTGTGTTTCTCGTTATGCACATATTCCTGCTCTACTCTGCTTTACCTAGTTTTGTTTTTTTCTCTGTAATTCCCTTTGGATCTTGTCTTCTTGAGTTATATGCTGTTTCCATGCATTCAGCTGTGTGCTGTGCTCTGTGCGTGTCAGATTGTGTTGTCTGTTTCCAGGTACACTGTCTCTCCTGTGTTCTAGTCAGACTGTTGGAGCCTCAGTTGTTGTTCCTGCGATGCAGAGCGCACCTGTGCCCAGCACCTCAGGGCCCTGCTGGCAGGCTTGACTGTGGGACTGGTTGACATGAACTGGGGTCCGTCAATCCACTGGTGCCTCAGGCGAGAGAGGAGAAGCTCTGGGTGCTGGGCTCAGCCTGTGGAAGGTGGCCCGGCTCTGCCAGGTGAGAGACACTTACCTGCAGACTCTGGCAGGGAAATAAAGGCTCTGCCAGGAGCGACACAGATACTTCGAATGGTCGACCACGCGCACCCAGTCCAGCTCGTCCATCGACACCTCGATATAGTAGGAATATGACCTGGAGAGAGCCGGGGGTGAGCGAGAGAAAACAGCAATGCACATCAAGCTATTTAACAGATGGAGTAAATGTACACTGTTTACGTTCAACTGCCACTCAAGCAATTAAAATATATTGTACATCAAGCACTTGTCTTACCAATCTATTTAATAATTTATAAGTCCTTAATTAATCTGAACTGCATATTTAAATCTGTGAACGTCTTACTATAGGAACCTTTGGCAACACCTCCCTCTAGTGGTGACAATGAGGCGGTGCAGTTTGCTGAACGAGAGGGTCATAGCAGACCTGCAAAGGGTCTGGCTCTTCACCCAGGGGTAAAGACAACCAAACCTTACGAGTCAGTCTGGGACACTATTCCCCTGCAGCACGGCCAACAGGATGGGAAGAAACACCCACTTTTTTAATTGCTGAGGACTGATGGACTTTAAAATGCAATAAGAGCACTGAGACACAGGACCTGTCTCTGCTGTTACCCAGAGGAAATACACCCTGCCGAAATCTGTCTGCAGTACAGTATGTGTCCTGAGTTGTGCGGGGACACAGAACAATGAGACACACAGCCTGCCTCTGCTGCTGTACTGAACAAAAACCCTGTTGAGTGTGTGGCGAGGGCGCGGGGGACTGTCTGTCCTCAGGGATCTGCTGCTCACCGGCTGTCACGGTCCCACAGCAGGATGCGGATGTGGTTGATGATGGAGGGCTGGCCCAGCTTGACCTCGATGTCGGATCGGCAGTCATCCTCGATGGGGTGGCGAGAGAAGCCATGGTCCAGATCGTAGTTCTGTGTGTCGCCATCCAGCAGCGCCGACTTCATCTCCCCCTTCACTACCTGAGCACCATGTTTCATCGTTGCAATATTTTCCTCTGGGACTGTGGATGAAGCAA